ATCTTCCCTGGCACACGGCAACATCAACAGCCTAACTGACAACCGACCCCCATCAGCAGCTCTGACAGCTGTTTCAACCTCACCCTCTGACAATCACAGGGCCCCGTGGGGTAACCAGCATTACACGAGGTGGACCACACAACCGTAAAATTGCCAGGGCTCTGGGTTCAGATCCTGGCCTCACTGCTACGACTGAGTGGATCTGGGGGGGCGAGTCCATCTCAGTGTCCTTGCCAATGACCCCCGCCCCGCCGCCTCCTACAGGAAGTGAACGGGGACTGTCAGCCTCCGGCTGTTGCAGGCACTGCAGCCCCGAGCAGCCCAGACATGCGGAGGCCTCTCCACAGCACATTCAGACCCTGCTGGGGGCCCAAGCCCAAGAGGCAAGAACGAACACCTTTGACATCTGCCACCTGGACAGACGCGTCACTACAACTGCCACCTCCGAGGGCCTGCTGGCGCTACCAAGCAGCCCCCTCTTGATTCGATTCCCACCTGAAGACGTGACAGCCAGCGCCGGCCTCTGCCGGACACACGCTGCCACCGAAGATCCGGGCTCCCGCGACGTGCAGAACACACCGGCTCCGGCGAGACGGGCTCCCGAGTGAGTCCCATCTCCCGCCAAATTCCTCGCCCAACCCCTTTGGGAGCAATCAGCCGACATGGGGCCCAAAGCCGGGTGGAAGGCCCCGGAGGTCTGGGCACACTCCCCGCCAGCTGGCTGGCCCTGCCTTCCCGATACCGGGGACCACTGGCTGGCAGCCACCACCTCTCAGCCCCAGGCGCACCCACCCCGTCCCTTTAAAGTGTGCCCGGGCATCCTCAGCCCCATCAGGTCCAGCCCTGTCCTCTCCCACCTGGGGAAAGGCAGGGGTCTCCCACCAGCCTCCCTGGGCCCACCTGGCCCCCCACACAGCCAGAGGGTCCTCGTGAACCTTCTCACCCTTCAGCAGGGTCCAATCCCTCCTCGGTTCCAAACCCTCCCCTGCTCCCAGCTAACTGAGTAAAAGGCAAAGGGCTTTCGATGACCCAGAGGCCCTCCACCCATCTACCAACGTGTGGCCGCTCCCCGTCCCTCAGGCCCAGCCTTGCCACTGCTCCAGCCCTCCGCCCTCCACCTGCCTAGGATGCCCTTCCAGACCTTGCACAGCCCAGCCCTCCTCCAGTCCAGGCTTGTTCTGGGCCTTCCCAGCACTCGGACCACCCTCCCCACTCCTCACACGCTGGGCTGTGCTGGGTTTGGGGTTTCCAGAGCATTCATGTGCAGCGTGCAGTACAGCGCTGACCACTCACCGTCTCTCTCCCCGTTAGTGGGAAGGGGGCACACGACAGAGGCACACGGTGGGAGCTCAAAACGCCCTTTGCTGAGGGAATGAGGGACTGTGGGTGCCCCAAGGCCGGCAGCAGCATGGTTAAGCCGGCAGGGGGAGCTGTCTGGGCGTCCAGGGCTCTGGGCTGGACCCTACAGGGACCCCTGGGACGGAAGGGCGCTCTCCGCGAGCCGGGATCAGGGCATCGTTTCTAAGAGGTGGGTGGGTAAGCAAGAGGAGGCTAAGAGCAAGGAAAGCAATCTGAAAGCGGGCACTGAACTGCAGCCATGCGCTGCAGGGGAAGGAAAGAACTCTACAGCTGTGTGTGGGAGACCCGGAGAGGATCCTACGGGCACAGCTCAGGACAGGAAGCCCTCCTCAAACACGATCACGGTGGGTAGAGCAGCAGCTGAGGCCAGGAGTCGGCACCACGCCCAGCAGGCCTCCCCTGTGGGGCCTGGGGTCCGACCTGGGCCCCTCACAAAAGTCTGCCCTGAATCACAGCCCGCATTTCACGAGACCAGTTTCTGACAGCCAGGTCAGTGGGACTCTCCGTGCTAGATTCCAAGCCAGTGTGTTCAAAGCAGAGCCTCCGTGTGCCCACGTCAAGCCCCCACCTTATGCGTGGCACTCAGGTGAGGGCTCAGCAAGGAGTCACGGGACAGCCCCCGGCAGCCCCGCAACGCAGAGGGTGTGAGATACGGAGAGGAAAGCACTCAAAAGGGTGACACCACGTAGCACGCGTTTGCCTAAAACTCATTCAGGGTTTGAGAAACTGCCTAAAAACAAAGTCGCTCACCCATTTTACCCTTAATTTCTCAAGAGCTGAAGGAAAAGAGAACTCCGTGTGGGCTGCGGGCCGAGCAACTTGCCGATGTGCGTGTGCGCGGGTGCCGAGTGGGGGGACCCACGGGCCCAGGCGCGGGGCGGCCCAGGCCTGGGCTTCACGTGCAAGCGTCCCAGGAGAGCTGGGGGCCAGGGGGACACAAACAGACCCCCCCCAGTTACTCAACGGGTAGGCCCCGGGGGCACTGGGAACCTGCAGGCGCATCAGCGAGCCTTCCGGGGAGCCTTTGAAACACGCCTGCCCATCTCCCAACAGTGCAAAGCCGGTTCTCCCTGCGGAGTCCAGTCCAGGCCGTGAGGGGAGCACAGGCGCGAAGGAAACATCCTAGAGCTCAACAAGGCGATCACACGGGCAACTGGGGGCAGGGGTGGGGGGCGATGTGTGTGAGGCACGATGAGCGGAAACCGTTTCCAGGTCGTTGGGAAGCGGCACAGAAGCGCCTCGCTGGCGCCCCTTCCGGTAAGAGCAGAAGAGAATGGAAGACTTTCTTCTCTGAGGCGGGGCCCCTGGGGACTGAAGGCAGATCAGACCGAGAGCATTTCCTTGTCGGCAACGCTGAGAACTGTTTTCAGTTTAACCTGCACCAGCTGTAGACTGTCCGGGATACACCATTAATCAATCCAAAGAGAAGCCTCATTTTCGTTACCCATTGAGTTAGGGACCTTCAAACACCATGACCTAGAATCGCAGCAGAGCGAACTCTGTTCCCCACGGTCACGGGGATCTCAGGAAGGACGGCAGTTCGCCGAGAAGCAAAAACCATCCCATTTTGTCCTCTACCCGGCACGTGTCCCTGCACTGCAGAGATGGCTCCCGGCCACCGGCGCTGAGGCCCAGGAGTGCCTAGCGGGGCGAGGCTGGAACCACGCACTGCGGCCAGGCGGCCCGGTCTTTCCCACGCCCGGGTCTGCGGCCAGCATGACCCCCTCCAATTCCTCAGGGAGCCGGACGCAGGGAGAGCCCAGCGGTCCCCAGGCCTTAGGTGAACAGCACCCCCCACCCCAAGGCCCTGAGCGCACACAGCCGCAAGCCAGGCCACGGGCCCAAGTGAGGCAGGGCTGGGCCAGGACTCCAGTGCAGCAGGAGGGCAGCCCCGGGATGGCGGGCAGGGCAGGAAGGGCGGGCGCTGGCTCAGTAGCAGCGGCTCCTTGCTCTGACCCTGCGGGGCCTCTGTGTGGTGCTGGGGACACAGCAAGGCCTCCAGTGCTGTGGGTCACAGACACACACACACACACACAGTGACAGGCCGTTAGAGGGACAGGCAGCAGCAGAGGCCGGGCCCAGCGAATGGACCCGGAACATGCAGCTCGAGCTCAGGGTCTCAGGGGATGAGCCAGGACCACAGCAGCGCCGGGATGGGCTGGGGAGGCCAAGGCCGGTAGGACCGGACCCGAGGCCCCACCCACTCCTCCCTGCCCCGGAACACCCTCGGACTGATGGACGGGCCGCCGCCTCACCTAGACGACAATGACCGCAAAAGGCAGGCCAGAGGAGCAGCCCCCAGCGCCCATACAGCCCAAACGCGGCCACTTCCCCAAGAGGAGGCCTGGGGCCCGGGACCCAGCCCACCTGCAGGGGCCTTTCTCGGGTGGAGAGGGGCTCCCTGAGGGTAACACACAACTTCGCTTCTTAAGGGCAATCTTCCTTTTATGGTGCAACCTAGCGCAAGGGCAGCCCCTAGAGCCCCTGGGGTGTAGGTTCCATTTCTTTCAAGGGGTTTCACGAAGGTCACAGACTTTGCCTAAGCAGAGCCGTTCAAACTAAGTGGGAAAACGACAGGAACCAGAAGTGGGACAAGAAACGCTGACCTCTCTGAGCTTGACAATCACTGAAAATTCTTAGAGGCAGGGAGTCTGACCTTACTATGCAAATCTCCTATTTGACACTTCTCAAGACGCTACTGAAACCTGCTGAACTAAGCAAGGTCCACAGTGGTTTGTCAAACTGCAAACAACTGCCTTAAAAAAAAAAGTTTTACGCTGACAGTGTTACTTATTCCAAAAACAAAGGGTGTGGTGACCTGCACTTTTGTTTTCACAGCAGGAAGAGACAGTTTCTGCATCCCCCAGCCCGCAGGCCGCCCGGACCCCCGCCTCGCCACCACACTGCGAAAGCAGAGAGGCACCATTCCAGGGACACGTCGGTGAATGACAAGGATGCCAACGTGGCTCCCGGACCAGCTTCCGTCAGGCCCTGAACCCCACTTCTATTTTTTGAGGTCTCCTCCAAACGCTGGGCAAAGACCCAGAGTCATCGACATGCAAAGCGAGAAAACAGAGCAGCCCCTACCAGCATGGACCCAGCCGTGCGACCGAACGACTCTCGATCACAGGCAGGGAAGGCCTCGCCCACGCTGGCTACTGCAGAGGCTTCTGCCCTCTCCCTCTACAAGTGAGGCAGACACACGCCACCTCACCCCAAGATGCTCAAGCAGAACAGACACCGAGCCAGTCGGGAGCCCCACAGCCCAGTCATTAGGAGGACACTGAACATGAGGTTAGAGCAAGCAGGTGATCCAGGACAGCCAGCCCCCGTTGCTAGGCAGCAGGAGCAGGCCAGGCCCTTCGCTGCAGACCTGCCCCAGGAGGAAGCAGGCGACTCGGCCTCCACACCCGCCTCCCGCCCACCACCCCGGGCCAGCCCTGCCCAGGCAAACAGAGTCAGAGCTCAGAGCAGCAGAGGCTCTCAGGACCCCCGAGCCAGAGCGGCCCAGGGGCCCAAAGCGCCTCTGGGACCGCAACTCCAGGCGGACTGAGGGCGCTGCCGTCGGCTGCCAGCAGCGAGAACGGAGGGGCCGCGAGCTCTGGCTCCGCCCCGGTGCCCAGCTCTCGGCCACTACTCACAGCCGTGGTAGGAGGCCGGCGACCCCCCGGCCTTGCCGTACTCCTGCTCCGAGTAGCTGGTGGACAGGTTGGGCTGGCTGGAGCCCCGGCCGAAGGTGAGCTGGCTGCTGCCCATGCCGGTGGCCACCTGGGCCATGCGTTCCTTGGTCTTGAGCGCCTGGGCCCGCTCGGCCTTCAGCCGCTCCTCGTCCTTCAGCAGGGCCACCAGCTGCTTGGCCTTCTCGCGCACGTTGACGCCCTGGTCCTTGCCGTCGCGGTCGACGTACTGGAAGTCCTTCAGGGTCTGGATGGCGAAGATGTTCTCACGGCACTGCTGGGCCACGCGCTCCGAGCCCGTCTTGATGAGGTAGTCGAGCAGCGTCAGCGCCTTGTACACGTGCCGCCAGTTCTTGCCGTGGTCGTTGAGTCGCTTCCACACCATGCTCATGATCTCCGAGAAGGCCACCACGTTGTAGGTCAGGTCCGCGATCTCCGTCATCAGGGAGCTGGACGGGCCCCACGGGTCGTTGGAGGTGGCTTCCCGGACTTTTATTTCGGCTTCCGAGTAATTGTTCACGATGTTTTTCATCTGCCGTCTGATAGACGAAGTCGTCATCTTTACTTTCTCTGTGACAAATGTAAAGCCCTTCAAAGAGAGAAGCTTCCCTGTCCCAGGCAGGTTCGCACCCCGTGAAGGTTCAGTCTCCGTAATGGGTCTGGAGCAGGGTCCCTGATGGTCATTTCCTCTGTTGGAGCCTCAGGTCCGAGAAGCTGGAAGCCATGACCTAGAGAAAGAAGACAAACGTTACTGTGCACGAGCCCCCCACCCCTGGGACGGCAAGCATTTTGCAAACAGCAGGCACTGGTCAGCCAGGGCGGTGAGTGGACGTCCTCCAGCCCCTAGGACAAAAGAGATGCCATCTTCCCTTCAAAACTAAGATGAGATCGATATTACAAGTTAAAAATGAATAAAGTTTGGGACCTCCCTGGTGGCACAGTGGTTAAGAACCCGCCTGCCAATGCAGGGGACATGGGTTCGAGCCCTGGTCCGGGAAGATCCACATGCTGTGCAGCAACTGAGCCTGTGCACCACAACCACTGAGCCTGCGCTCTAGAGCCCGCGAGCCACAACTACTGAGCCTTTGTGCCACAACTACTGAAGCCCGCGCGCCTCAATGAAGAGTACTGAAGCCCGCGCGCCTCAATGAAGAGTAGCCCCTGCTCGCCGCAACTAGAGAAAGCCCACGTGCAACGAAGACCCGACACAGCAAAAATAAATAAATTTAAAAAATGGTTAACTTTAAAAAAAAAAAAAAAAGGAATAAAGTTTAAACTCAAGTTTAAGCCTCTGGAAGGAAAGCAGTAACACCGTAACTACTGTTCTATTTTCAAAACACTTCCACTGGATCGGCTCTGCTGCGATTGTGTTTTTCTTATAAATTTATTTATTGATTTGATTTATTTTTGGCTGCGTTGGGTCTTCGTTGCCGCGTGCGGGCTTTCTCTAGTTGTGGAGAGGGTGGGCTACTCTTCGTTGCAGTGCGTGGGCTTCTCATTGCGGTGGCTTCTCGGGAAAGTCCCCGATTGTATTTTGATTGTATTTTTCTTCCACCGCCAGGCAAAAGCCAGCTAGAACAATCTAATGCCTGTCTACACTGGCTTGGGCACCACGCTTCTAACTGCGGGGGATTCTCCGTGACCACCTCTTCTGACTTCTTATAAAGGCTCCCAACTCCCCTTCTAGGGCAGGGCTCGGGCCCTCCACCGGGCTTTCAAAAGCCTCGGGCATCTGGCCCGAGCTGTGCAGTACAACCTTACAAATAATCTGGTTCTACCCCAATTTCCTCACTTCACGGAGGAGAAAACTGACGGCTACACATTCACAGGACACCCAGCCCTTTGCCACAAACACACCTCTCCAGGGAAGAAACATCTGCGGAGCTGGAGTGAGGGCCACACCTCTGGCCACGGGCTCTGGTCCAGAGTGTGGGGATCCCAGCTGGCTTGGTTGCCAGTGAGCGCCCAGCACTGTGCCTGACGTGGGTAATAAACACTGCTGATAGATTTGTGAAACAGATTAGAAACAGTGTCCCTTCCCTCAGGAAGGCACAGTCTGGCAGGGGACAGAGGTGAGCACAAGGCATCTGAGGACGCAAATCCAGAACAGCTCAGCCGGCTGCTGGGGGCCGCAAAGGCGGGCACGGAGAGCACTTTCTGCACAAGTGACCTGCAGGGAGGTCTTCAAAGGGGGAGACTTCCGGGAGGCAGCAGGGGAGTGACTGCTGGGTGATTCCTCTCCTCCAGAAGGAGGAGCCAGGCCCAGAGCCCACAGGGGCCGCCAAGGACAGAGCAGTGCAGCCGGGCGGGGACAAAGCCAGCAGCTGCCCCACACTCCACCCCACCCCAGCCGCCTCTGGGCCTCTGGCCTGGGAAGGAGGCGGGTGGCCTCGGGCCCGGCTCTCCACAAAAAGCCTTCCAGGTAAGGATCGTTCCAGCCCTGGTGCAGACGGGGAGCCTGGGCCCCCAGGGAGGATCCGCTGCTTCGCCGCGACCCCTATGCTGGGCTGCTCCTGCCAGAGGGACGACGGACGGCCCCCACCGGCCCCATCCACAGCCTCAGAAGTGAGGGAACAGAAGTGTCGGGAGGGGAAGCTGCGGGAAATGCCCAGTCCGCACAGGGAGCCAGCCGACAGGGGGAGCACAGAAGCCCACCCTAGTGACAGTCGCACATGTGTCCCTCAGCAGGCCAGGAAGCCTGCTTCCTTCTGAAGCCACAGAGCGTACGGGCTTCCGCGTGGGTGGGCACAGCCTGCCCCCTCACTGACCAACCGGCTCTCACAAGCCCTCTGCCGTGTGTCCCAGGACCAGGGCCAGGCGCTCTGATGGGGACCTGCGTGCGTGATGTGACCAGGCTGGCTGTCCACGCTGGCGAGAAGACGGGCCTCCAAGGGGAAGGGCTCTGACGTCCCAGAGCAAACGCTTGCCAACGTCACACCAGTCACCCGAAGTCCCCAGGGCCCGGGCCCACCTGGCACTTTATCTATCACCCACGGGGGGCTCGGCAGGCACGAGCGCCCTGCTCCTCGGAGAAGCAGGTGGGCTGGAGAGACCCCGGCCACCTTCCTCCAGGTCAGGAGGCACTCCGAGGAGGCACGAGAGCAACGGTCCTGGTAAACAGGCCTCAAATGGTTAAAGATGTAATGAAAAGAAACCACGTCCTGGGGGAGAGATACTGTGTCAGGCTCTGCTGCCCATCCTCTAGTCTGGTGCCCTCCCAGGGTAGGCTGCGAGGCCCAGCCAGGGCACCCCCTGAGCCTCCCAGGCCCTTGGTGGCAGAGAAAAGGCAGCCGTTCCCGCGAGCGAGGGCTGGGTGCCTCTGCCCTCCCGGACCCAGGCTGGGAAAGGAACCCGGACAGCTGAGAAAGAGGGGCTACGGCCCAGCTTGCAAGGACACCTGTTAGCAGTCTCTCTGAAATACTTCGGCTTTGAGAGGGGAAAAGCTAATGAAATACTTGTTACAGTCAGAGAAAGCATAGGAATGTACTGTGAACAGCTGCGTGCTGTTTTCCTAAAGCTACAGAAAGGGCGAGATGGGGGTAAGCAATTCCTGAAGGGGAAGGGGCCCCAAAGGCGCCTCCGAGGAACCATCCTCAGGGCCCACCTGCTCCGCGCCTGCCTCACCTGAGACTGCAGGTGAGTCTCTGACGCTGTGAGGGGCCTCCTGGGCCCTCAACGGAGGATGCGGGCACTGTGGGTCCATCCCACTCGCCCCGCAGACCTCAGACCTCGTTTTCCCATTTTGAAACCTCCCCCCTCCACCCCAGGATTGCCTGTAAACGCCCAGACATCTTCCTGCCAGCAGACACCCGCCGGGGCTGCCCTTAAAGCCCCGACACTCCCCAAGTGCACACCCAGCCCTGAGCTCTGTTCTCTTCTCGCTCTTTTCTGAACAGTTTGCAGGCCCCACTCTCCAAACCTCCCTCCTCGATTTGCCTTCCGCTCCCAGCTTGCTAAGCCTGCAGAGCAGCAGGCAGGAGCCAAGGATGGAGCCGGACAGGACAGGACACTGCCTGAACCTGCGGGCCCACCTGGGCCCGAAGCCCCGTACCCTGCACTTCACAGCTGCAGGAGTCCTCGCGGCCACGTGTAACCGGCAGCCTGTGCGCTCCGTCCTGGGCAACAGCCAAAGAGCACACTCGGAGCCTCCAGGACAGGTGCGGGGACTCCAACCAGGCCCCCAGGCATGGCTGACCCACAGCCCAGGCCGACCGAGGAGCTGCATCCCTTAGTCCTCGACACGCAGGCACCCCAGCCAAACTCTGGGATCATCACTCTTTTCCGAAAGCAGCTTATAATGGTGACCGTAAAGTAACCACTGGATCACATTTGCCGAGGACAGGCTAGGGCAGAAAAATTCTGGCATATCTGAAAACACGACCAGAATTCGACTGACAGTGGAGACTAGAAATAGACTGAATAAAACAGCAAATAGAACAAAACTAAAAAAAACAAACAAAAAATTCCGAGGCTAGGGTGATGCCCCTGGAGGCAGGAAGAATTCCACAAAAACATGCTCCGAGGGCCTGCAGAGCTGGGTGGGGAAATTCCTTCCAAATCTGGAGTCCCGGACCAACCGTGGGAGGGAGAAGCTCTCCGTGGTCCCGCAGCCCAGGTGGGTCCCTGCTCAAAGCCCACGTGTGCCTCGGCTATCGTGCTTCTGTGATGGGGCATGGCTGGCCAGGCGCAGAGAAGATGCAGTCGGTCGGGGTTTCCACCAACCCCCCACGGAGATTTCGGGGGCTTTTCAGGGATCAGGGATCATTATCAGGGACCAGGACCAGCTATGAGGGAAAGGCAGCAAACGCCTCTCGCCTCCCCAAACCTAACAGTCACAGGCCAGGCCAGTCACGAGCAGTAGATCCCGCTGAATGAATGTACCCCAGACGGCAGCTCGCACCATCTGCATCTGGCAGCCTCCTGCGACTTCCTCAAGGCAGGTGACAGCCTTCACACCCACGGGGCTGGGGTGGGGGGAGCAGAGGGCCAGCCAGAAAAGGAAACGTCGCTGGGTAGAGAAATCAAATTTTATATCTCTATCCCAAAAGCGGGCTTAAAGAAAACTTTGCATTCATGTACTGAAAGAATTGCAAAAACGAACATGACACTTAACTTCCAGATGATAAAGCAGGTAGTGAAACCGCCCACACAGGAAGAGCCCCGGGGTGCCAGTGAACTGGCTGTAGTGGGGCCTGATGGCCCTGCCCCCATGCTGGATGACCCCTGCCCCCTCTAACTACCCCCCTAAAGAGCCCCTGGGGCTTCTCCCAAGACACGACAGTGGCGGAACAAGCAGAGGAAAATTCAATGTCAGACATCCTCCTGTGGACTTCACCTGTTCTCGATTTTTCTAAAAGTAGAAATCAGTACTGAAAACACACATGAGGAATTTCGTTTTTCTTTATCAACGTGGCCAATCATTCAGTCTCTGGGAAGAGCAGCCCTGGGCGCAGATTACACAGGTGTTGAAACGTGGTCATTTTCAAGGATGATGTGAAGCAAGGACCGGGGTTGGGAGACATGGTTCTGGCCGTCCGACAACGCAGTCACTTAGAAATGGGGATGTGACGAGCTGCACCGCCCTCACAGGGTCGAGGATCAAACACCCTGACGGCTGGACCACGTGGATGCACAAACGTGCCACAGAGGACAGAGTCCCACCTCTGCCACTCCTCAGAGTAGCTTTGCAAATGACCAACCACAGACAACATTCTTAAAAACTCCGGCCAGCGTGTCTCCTTCCTGACTGTCCTCTGTGGCTTGTCCGTGAGACCTGCTGATAGCAATAAGTCTTCAGGAAATGCCAAAATCGGGCACCGTGCCCCCCAGTTCGAAGATCTCAGCCCATCTGACTACAAAGGAAAATATGTTGTGTTCTGCTTTTGCCCTCTTGACCTCACCCGTGTGTGCCCCACGAGATCACTGCTTTCAGTGACGGCCAGAGGAACTTGAGAAACTCAACTGCCAAGTGATCGGTGCTTCTGTGGATTCTCACTTCTGTCACCTGGCATGGATCATCACACCCAAGAAACAAGGAGGACTGGGACCCATGAACACTCCCTTGGTGTCAGAACCCAAGCGCACCACTGCTCAGGACCACGGGGTCTTAAAGGCCGATGGAGGCATCTCATTCAGGGGCCTTTTTATTATTGATGATAAAGGTATCCTTCGGCAGATCCCCATAAATGACCTTCCTGTTGGCCGTTCTGTGGAGGAGACACTGAGACTAGTTCAGGCCTTCCAGTTTACTGACAAACATGGGGAAGTGTGCCCAGCTGGCTGGAAGCCTGGCAGCGATACCATCGAGCCTGATGTCCCGAAGAGCAAAGAATATTTCTCTAAGCAGAAGTGAGCGCTGGGCCATTTTAGGGCCAGGCTGCAGTAGGTGGCCATGAGAACAAAACCTCTTTTGTACTACTGTCATGCTTAAAACACAAGACCTTCCACTCAGCCCTGATGTGGTGTGGGACAGGACAGGCCTTTCCGGCAGGGGTTGGGGAGGCCAGCCTTTCTTCCTCTGGAGGGAATGGCCCGAGCAGTATTATGGGGCAGGCAAACTGATGTGTATAGTAGTAGGGTATCACTTTTGGTCTTTTGTAGTTTTATTAAACTTGAGCTGAGGAGAAAAAAAAAAAAAAATCCAGCCAGAAAGCGAACAGCGTGGAGCGGTAGAGCACACAGAACCAGGAGCCGGGAAAGCGGGGATCAGGCCAGGCCCAGCCTCCCGCCCCTAAAGTGACGGGGCAGACCAGACCAGCCGAGCTGCCCACCCTCCCGTCCCCAGGCCCTCTTTCTGACAAGTGGCTCAATTCCCTGCCATCTCCGTGGTGTCACGGGCGGCCCCTGCCCCAGGTCAGCCACAGAGAGGCTAGAGTTCCGGCAAGAAGCCTAGCGGTGCATGTTTCTTTGGCCTGTGCGGCTTCCTGGGGACCGTGGAGTATGAAGGGCAGCCCTCACAACACGGCCCCCTCCAAGGAAGGCAGCTTGCACACGTGTGACCCCCAGGCCAGAGTCTCCATTCTAACATGCTGTGACTCTGCTACCAGAAATACCCACTAATGGTAGGTGGCAATGCCACCCAGAGACTGGGGGGGGCAACCGACGGCTTCAGACCCACCCCACGGGGCAGGCCCAGCGAAGGATTACAGTCCGATCAGTAGAATCTTCCAGCTTGAGCCATTTGGGAAAAAAGAAGAGCTACATGGGAAAATTTAGAATTCCCATGATTTCATGCTTAATTTAGACCTGGCCGGTCTCTGTGGCGGCGCTAAGTGCTGGGCTGTCGCCATGTCCTGAGGAGCCCGCGGGAGAGCGGAAGCCAAAGGGGGGGCTGTGGACCCCGCAGCCAGAATCCTGGTTTCAGGCTCAGCAGCGACCTGACACTGTTCTCAAAAGGAGCTCAAGATGCTCGCCCAGAGGAAGCCCGCGCGGGTAAGGAACAGGTGCCTGCACGCTGTGTAAGTGCAAACCAAGGCCGTGAGAAGAAGGGGCAGTTGCTCACCTCGGCCCTTAAACCAGCAGGGCCGGGAGGTCACGTCCGACTCTCCCCGCGCGGCCGTGCAGGGACGGGGCTCCCACGGCTTCGGGGAGTGACAGCTGATGTCCACAGGTCCTCACAGGCCCAGCCCAGGCCGTGCGGGGGGTGAACCAGAGCCCCAGAGACCAGAAGACGGGCGCACTGGGAAGGTGAGCTCTTCACGTGCCACCCACGCGCTGCGCCCTCTCCCCGGTCATGTCGCTGGTCGCTGGAGCGACCTGCCTCCACCTGCCGCCTCCCGGCACTGCCGCTACACCCGCTCTTTCTTGTCAGCTTAGACCTCGCATCCTCGGGACCACGCGTCACTCTCTCAAGTCACCACCTTCCACGTGCGGCGGAGCCCCCCTCTCTGTTGGACAGCTTCCTGCTTATGCCCCGTTTATCTGCTCCCCCCGCAGGCGCCGGGCCCTGCCCCTCTTCACCGCTGTGTCCTTGGCGCCGAGGACGGAGCCCGACCCCGGGAGCGCTCTGACGTGCGCTGAGTGAATGAACACTGAGGGAAAGAAAGGAAAACAGCACCCCCGCCCCCCCTACGCAGACACCGGGGTTCAGTCTCCCACTCAGTCTCCCTCGGGATCTCTGTCACTTGGGGCAGAACAGCTGCTCTGCTCACCAAACACGCAAAACCAAACTACATGGTTAAAAGTTCACGACGCCAGACCCGAGGACAGGGACAGACAAGTGCGCAGCGAGCACACCCCGAGGGGATGGAGGCCCCGAAGCCCCGCCAGCCTGGGCTCAGGAGCAGCAGCCTGGGCAGCGTGCGAGGTGAGGACGGACGTCTCCTTCTGGCCACAGGGACCTACAGCCTGCCTTTTCAGCGGTGACCGGAGGCCAGGGGACGCAGTGAGGACGGCCGCTGCGCAGCGCTGCGTGACAGGGGTCCAGACACCTGCTTGCTCCCGGCTGTGCCAAGCTGAGTGTGTCTCTGAGGGTGCTTCTCAGCAGCCCCCCGAGGACAGCCAGGAGACAGCGTCCACGGCGGGGGAACAAGCCTACAGAAGCAACAAGGGCCCAGGGAGAACGCGCTGGGCAGGAGGTGCCTGACCACACGCACAACCTTTAAACACGGGCACCGGCTCCAGCTCCTCTCCTGTGTGGCTGGCATTTCCAAGCAAGGTCTCAGATGTGCTAACTCTCTGATACTAGCAGTCATCGTAAGAGAACAGGCTTAGAATAGAAACCGAAAATAGAAGAGGCTCTCTAAACAGAAACTGGAGAATCCTGACTGAGCCCTGGCTGTATGCCAGGCGTACCTACTCCCTGAACCTTGTAAGAATTCTACAGGGAGTAATTATTCTTCTTACCCTCATTTCATGGGTGAGGAAGTGGAGGCACAGAGAGGTTAAGTAACTGGCCTAAGCTACAGGCCAGCAACTGGTAGGACCAGGATCTGATCCCAGACCTCTGGCTTCTGGTCCCACCCTCTTAATCTCTATTCTTATTCTGTTTAGCTTCAGACAAATCCAATGCTCAAAGTCATGAGAACAATGAATTTTTACTCACTGAATCCGGAGGTCTAGAAGGGCCCCTCCTGTCTAGGTGCTGAAAAGGCCAAAAGATGGCAGAGAAGCAACTGTTTTCCTACCCCCTGTTCAGCTGGCCACAGGACATCCTGTCCAGCTCACCAAACGAAGAGGGCAGGAGCAAAGATGCTGGAACTGGAAGGGGCCCAGCCCCCGCCTGCGTGCGGACGCTAGTTCTGAGCGGTGTGGTGCTGTCCTGGGATCGGACCCTGGTGTTCCCAGCTCCTTCCAGTGCAGCCTACAAAGAAGGGGGCCTTTAACGCTCTCCAAGAAAGCTTCACTCTGGGACATGTCAGGTCCCACAGACGGCAACACGACAAAATCCAGCAGGGTAGGAGCCTCAGGTACCAGAGACTCCAAAACGATTTAAAAATTAGCCCTTCTGGAGGACTTCCCTGGTGGCACAGTGGTTAGGAATCCACCTGCCAATGCAGGAGTCATGGGTTCGAGTCCTAGTGTGGGAAGATCCCACATGCCGCAGAGCAGCTAAGCCCATGCGCCACAACTACTGAGCCTGCGTGCCACAACTACTGAAGCCCGTGTGCCACAACTACTGAAGCCCGCACGCCTAGAGCCTGTGCTCTGCAATGAGAAGCCTGCACACCTCAACAAAGAGTAGCCCCCGCTCAATGCAACTAGAGAAACCCCACGCGCAGCAACGAAGACCCAACACAGCCAAAAATAAATAAATTTATTAAAAAAAAATTAGCCCTTCAGAACTCACACCCTTAAGAAATGGTACCTCTTTGGCTACAACCGTGTCTTCTGCTAAATCAGCCACACGGGCTGTAACAACCCGAGAACGCGGATTATTCCTTTAAAACAGCCGCCATTTGAAACACCACCAGGAAAAACCGGGTCTCGGTGATGAAAGGTAAGCTTCCTCTTTTGGTTCAGAATAAAAGTGCAACTTCCCTCCTTCCCCTCTGCTGGAGACCTGCCCAGGGTGTTACTCTGCAACACTCACCGGGCTCTCAAATGTCACGGTCGGCCCAGAAAAGGCGCACCCGCCCGAAGCTCTTCCTGCCGCTCCTCTGTCCTCTTAAGTGTTTGTGACATGCTGTTGGGCATATACAAAAGCAGAGGCACCAACCACATGTGGGGCCCAGACGAGGCACTCCTGTCACCCAGGCCCCTTCCCCCTCCCCCACCCCAGCAAACAGCTCGGGTTCTGAGTTCCTCCGTCCCTTGCTTTTAAAAAAGAAAATGATCTTACCACACATGTACCACTGCCACAACCTGCTCCAGCGTCGACACTACGTGTCTGAGACTCGTCCACACGTGTGGCTGCGGGTCTGGGGCGGCTCATCCGCGTCCCTGCTGTATGGTAGCTGCCTGTGCTCACATGTAACAGTCTCCCCACTAACGCTCCTGTCCGTGGACACCTAGACCGAGCTCACCTTTTCGCCATCGTGAACAGTGCTGGTGTGCGCATGTGTCCCCTGGGACTCGTGCACCCAGTGTTCTAGACCACGTTCCTGGGATCAGAACTACTCCACAGGGTGTACGAGTGTCCTCTGAACTGTGTTTTGAAAATGCTTTTGCTCTTATAACATCATTTCATCATCACAGCACAAAGAGAGATGAACAGTTTAGCTGATACTAGATTCAACAAGCACTTTTCACACACTCGGTGCTTAAAGAATGGTGCTCACAGGGAAACACACACACGACGCGGCTCCTCGTCTGGGTTGGGACACCCACGCAACCAAGGCAGAGGCGCGGGAGGATGGGGGGACCGCAGGGCACGAGGGAGGCGGTGATGAGGCGTGGG